ATACAGCCCATCCACAATTGCAAGCTGCATGGCAGAAGAGTCAGAACATCCTCCACAGTTGTATGACTGTTGGAGGCCAACAGGTCATACAAGGGGCGTCGTCTAGTCAACTTCTATCTCAAGAAGACTACGTCCCTTCCCAGGCCACACAGTCATATCGGGCGAGGCATCGACCGTCTGGCAACATTGGTGGAGGTCGAAGACGGCGTGCCCGTGAACCCGCTGCAGCCTGTGAACCCCCTGCCAACACTGCGTATGAGGACGACGAAGAAGGTAATAATTTTTTTCATGAAAAAGTGTTTATTTTTTTATTTTGTTTTGTTTTTTATTTTTTGTTCAGTCGAATTTCTAATTTGTTTAAAAAATTAATTACTCAGATCAAGAGAAGAAGCTGCCACACCAATCACGACCGCAGCCTCGTCTTCTTCAGTACAAAGGCCTCCTAGGAAGGGGTCCCGACAGCGTAGACCTCCGGATACATATACTCCTTCCTAGTTAGTTTGTGTATTTTGTAGTTTGAACTTTGCAGACATATTTGTTTTGTATTTAAAAACCGTATTTTGACTTTTTACGTTTTATATTGTGTTTCTTGAATATTGCATTGTGGTTGATTGTTTTTTTATATAATGTATGTTGAATTATTTTTTTTGCCGAATTGATATATATGAGTTGGTTGAACAGGTGTATATTATATTGGACAAGTTGGTTGATTGAATAGGTTTATATTATTATTATTTTTTTTAACCAAAAACTTATTCGCGTAATACGTTTTATAAAGAATTTTTTTTAACTTAAAACGTATTTTGAAAATATGTTTAATATTTTTATAAAATTAAAATTAACAAAAAAATATTTTTCAAAATTCTAAAATAAATTTTAACAAAAAAATGTATTCACAACATACGTTTTAAGGGAAAACGTATTCTGCTTATACGTTTATAAAGAAAAACGTATTTCCCCAATACGTTTTTGTTTATGTTAATTAAGATTAATTATCTTAATTACGCTCTTTTAGTAAAATGTATTCGTGGAATACGTTCTAAATGGAAAAACGTATTCGCGGAATACGGTTTTCTGTAAAAAACGTATTCCCCGAATACGTGTGTTTGATTATTTTCCACACTTTATTTTTTTTTGTCCACTTTTTTTTTAAATAAATAATAGATTTCTAAGTGACTGCTTGTGTGCTTTTTTGCATGAGATATTTTGTGTGTGTATGTGGGTCGTGGGAGAGGAGGGTGCCATATTGTCCATGATATTTGATATAGATGCATAAAGTTTTTCAGTGAATGAGTGCCTTTATTTATTTATTTATTTATTTATTTCTTCTGTTTCCTATGAACAACTTAAACTCATTGTTCTAAAACCAAGATCAATACGACGACCAAACATCGGAGAAAGACGACACGATTGCCTCAAAGTGTTTGAAATAATAGGTTTTGAAGGCACGACAGTCGACATAGAATTGTCCCTATATGTGCTTGAGAGTGCCGTTTCGCTAGAAAAGGTTGTTATTAATGGCCATACTAAAACTGGAGATCAAATTGGCAAGCTAAGGGAAAACTTTTCCAAGGCTAAGCTGTTTATGTGTTGATATGCAGCTGATGCAGATTATGTGCTTTCCTTGGTCTCCAACTGTTGATGTTGGTGTTGGTGTTGGTGTTGGTGTTGGTGTTGATACTGTTCTTATAGGTTATAAACTCATTAGTCACTTTAAAATTATCTCAGGATAGAATATTTACTTAATTTAACCTAGCAATTTAACCAAATAACTAATTTTTTTAGATATTAGCGGACGGGTGTAAAATTATAATTTTTCTAACGCTCAAAATTTTTATATTTTACTAATTAATATATTATTTATTTTTAAACATAAATTCAAGAGAAAGAAGATATATAATTAATAAAGTTATTATTTCCGGTCTACCAAGCTAAATTCCAAGATAAGGATAGTGAAATCTTGAAGGATCAATTAATTTGATGTCTTCTTCTCTAAGATTCTCTACTACAGATATAATTAGGGGGTTCTCCCAAAGCCAAATACACACCTCATAAATCGAAGTATCAAGTTTGAAAACTCTCATGAACTCTTTTGAAGATTTGGAAACATTTTTAAAGATTTAAGGGCATTCAAGTTGAATATCGGCCTTCAATTCGGAATAAAGCCTCTCTGAAGTACGCTCAAAGGAGGAGGTCAAGAAGAAGAAAAAAATTGGCGATTCTTCTTCAACGTTTTAAAAAGGTGACGTCATTCTTCTGAAATCAATCCAAGAATACCAACGACGTTCAAACGACATTCAAGTCGTGCTCGTCGAGAAGTTAAGCCAACATAGCGTTTGATCTGAAAAAAAAAAAAATTATTAGGCCCTTGGGTCAACGTTATTCAAGCCCAAAATCTAAAGTATATGAAGATCCAATAAGCAAGTTCTCTAAGAAGTCGTTTCCAATCGATTCAAGTCGGAACCGTTTATTCAGGATCAAGTCATTCTGTAATATCCCGATATTTTATCGGTATAAATTATGTTTTAGTTCCGATATAATAATGTTAATTTTTATTATTTTCGGAATTAATTAATTTCAGTCGAGATTACCGAAATTTATTTTCGACGTACCGTTTACGTTCGGAATAATTTTGTAATTAAGTATTATGTTTAATTGAATAATTAAACATATTTAGTGATTAATTAAGCAAATTAATCACATAATAAACCAAAGTCGTGCGGAATTGAGCAAATTGTCCCAATTTAGCAATAAAAACAGAAGCTTTCTTCAAGCTTGGGAAAATTATTTCCTCATTCTCTTTGGTATAAAACGTGGCAAAATGTGAAGGTGATTAGTCATCTATGCTTAGTTTATGTGGGAGCAAGTGTGAGATTAAGGGAAAGCCACGCATCACCAACGTCATCACCATCTCCCCCCACGGCCATATATATAAGCTTGAGATGACAAAATTTTTCCCCCATTTTTCCTAAGGCACATTCAGTATATTACCCCCCCCCCCCTCTATACCAAAGGTTCAGCAACAAGTATCCAACCTATTACTCAATTTCCCCGCATCATCGCACGGCAAATCGCATGGCAAGTCACGCACGCACGGAGTAAGAAGAGCTTGAGTAATTGGAGTGTTTCGATCG